CCAGGACGACCTTTTGCAACGACTGGACTGGACTACGCTGGGCCGATGTCAATCTTGTTTTCGAGAGGTAGAGGAGCGAAGACAACAAAAGGATACGTAGCCATCTTCGTGTGTTTGGTCACTCGCGCAGTGCATATTGAAGTCGTGTCCGATCTTACTACACGAGCTTTTTTGGCAGCTTATTCGAGGTTTTGCGCGAGAAGAGGAAGACCGTCAATCGTCTACTCGGACAATGCGACGACATTCAAAGGTGCAGCCGTGGAGCTCAAGAGGCTTTTTGAAAAAAGCTCATCGTTCAGTCGTCGTATCCAAGCTCAATTAAGCGAACAAGGCACGAAATGGTCGTTTATCCCGCCGCGCGCTCCGCATTTTGGAGGGCTATGGGAGGCCGCGGTTCGCAGCTTTAAGCACCACTTCCGCCGAGTGATCGGAGAAACAAAGCTGACGTTTGAGGAACTCGCAACACTGGCGGCACGAATCGAGGCGTGCTTGAACTCGCGTCCGCTGCGGCCACTCAGCAGCCAGCCCGAAGACTACGCCGCTCTTACCCCGGGTCATTTCCTGGTTGGATCGGCGCTTCTGGATTACCCCGAGCCGTTCGACGAAGGTGAAATTTTAAGCCTCACCGATCGCTGGAGGCTTTTGCACGGTCTGCGAGACTCGTTTTGGCGTCGCTGGCGAAAAGAAGTCCTTTCGCAGATGCAGCAGCGCAATAAGTGGACCGACGTTCGAAGGAGCCTCAAGCCAGGTGATATGGTCATTATGCGAGATGAGTTGTGTCCGCCTTCAACCTGGCCCTTGGCACGCGTCGAGAAGGTTCACTTGGGAGCTGACGGACTAGTGCGAGTCGCTACGATTAGGACGTCGGACTCACGATTCACGCGTCCCGTAGTCAAGCTCATCAAGCTGCCAACCGATCTTGACCTCAAGAGTGATTCTCGGCCTGAAGTCGAGACAAGCTAGTTTTAAGTGTAATTTTTTTGTAAATTTATGTTTAGTTCGATCGCTTATTATTATGTATTTTATTTCTCTATTTGTTCTATTCTCTGTGCAATTACATTTTTTTTTTGATTTATTTGTTTTGACGCTGCTGTGCGTCAACGCGGGCGGTATGTTCAAATTGTAACGATTGCGGACTTGGCGCTGGTGCGAGATGAGAGCTTGGTGGGAAAAATACGCGCGAAATTGTCGCGGCTTTTATTACAATACGTTAAACTTTTCTTCAGCCTCTAATAGTCAATCAGCAAAGCCGTCGGCATAGCCTTTTCGCCCTGGCCTGCCAAGCTCTGATTTCGCGACAGCGTCAACGCTTTTTGTGCCCAACTACTTACGCTGTTTTTGAGTCAAAAGTGTTTGTTTTTTAATACAATAAATATGCATTGTTATTTTTTTTGTTAAACGGAGTGCACGAATTTTTATCAACGCCCTAAGTTCAACTCCACTGCCTAGCACGGTAACAGGGCAATTGTGACAAATTTTTTGAAATTCAATAAAAAATAGAAATTTCATTGTAATTTTTTAATTTTAATATATGTTATTTAGCTTGAGCTCCCCTTTGCAATGATCGTTTCAGATTTGAAAAATTTTAAAAATTCGCTTCAGGAAGCAAGTTTGAAGTTATGGTGTCACTCATGCCCGTCTCTCCCCTATATTTCTCTGGTACTGATAATTTTGTAAGCGTGAATGAAAAATGATTTAATCTCTTGAGAGATTCAAAATGCAGTCTTTTCTTTTGACAGGAAATGATCTTTCAGAATAATTAATTAATGCTCATACATGCATACGTTAGAGATGACTCACGTATGGTCGAGAGAAAGTTTCCTTTTGGTCGGTAATAATATCGTGTCATCCGGTCTTGTGACGATAGACTAAATGATTGATTGTTTTACTTGGAAAAGAAAGATGCCCAGATAAGATCTCTGCTTGTTCTACTGTTGTCTACCCCCTACTGACACGTTGATTTACAATTTAAAGTTAGCATTTATAGAACACTTTCAAACTTCGTACACACTTTTCCAAGTGTTTATCCATTGTTTTACATTTAAAGTTCTCAGCGAGATTTACGCCCAGACTTACAAGGTCAACGGCAAATGAATTTTGTCGCAGTTGTTCACAGCAACAATACGGAGGGCTCCACAGAGCCGTTTTTCGAAAATCAGCCTGGAAAAAAGTTACAAAAATATACATTTTCTGTGCTCGGTCGGTAAAATTTGTGGCCAAGGCATCGCCTTTATTTAACTATATTCGATTGGATTTAAGTAAATTCTATACAATTTCTAAAATGAGTACCGTAACTAAGTATATATTGTAAACTGTGTTTAAAATTGATAAAACAACGTTTTAAAACATCGTTAATTTCTGTATCACGATTACTGACGTTCACGAATATTTGACGTCTCGAACACATGCTAAGTCAAGGAGGGAGGTAGGAAGTGGGGATAGTATCTCAAAGAATAACAGCCGCTCTCTCTCTCCTACGAAGTATACGAGTGGGAAAGAGATAGACAATGTGGCTACGGTGGGGTAAAAAAAGTTAGAGGGGGAAGTCTGAACGTGTGGGCTTGAAAAGAGCCGGCCGGTGAGGCAGTGAAGCATCAGTACTGCTAGACGACTCACAGAGTTCAGTACAACTCCAGAGAGGAGCTGCCGGCGTGAAATTAGTTTTTTTAACTTTGAAAGTTAATCTCGAATTGCTACTAAATAGTTTGCTTCGGCTGCACTTGTGCTCGTGTTCAATTTCCACAAGCGATTGCTTCTCTTTTTTTCTTGCTCCCTCAAGAAGATAATGTTTAGTTGTGCATTGGAACATATAGTTAGTTCTTCGATACAGCTTAAACAATTTTGTGCATTTCATACGAGTACTGCCTTCTTTTTAATCAGTGCTGACGAAAAAATCGAAACTTTGTAGTTAAGTTGTTTCGTTGTGAATTTGTGCAAGTGCAATTTTCGTGCCTTTTATATTAGCAGCCTAAAAGGTTTAATATAATTATGGCTTTCTCAGAGATGTACGACGATGATATGGGTTTGCTTGGCGGCCTATTCGATGAACCAAACGACAATTACGTGTCATACGACAATCCAATGTTAAGCTTAGGATTCGAATCAACGTAAGTTACTTTTTTTATTTAAATATTTTAAAAAGAACCAACATTACAAACGTTTAGAGGAATTAGTGTTTAACGTATCTGTTTCGGAAATATTTAACAAAATATCAAATATTTGCTTCAACGGGTTTTTTTTCTTACCTCGGGACCGGCTTTTTTGAACAAAATTTAAACTTACAGAACATTTTTACACTTGGTCAAAGTTGCACAGCTAAGACTTACACATTTGAAATTTATTTACACACAGCTAAATTATACACGAATAAGTTTTACACAAGTGTAAATAATTTTTACAGGAATGTAAAAACCATCTTCCCGAGTGTAAAAATTATTCATGGTTTTTACACTTATGTAAAAATTATTTACATATGTAAAACAAATTTTACATGAGTGGTAAAATTATTTGCACTCTTCGATCAATTTTACACAAGTGTAAAAATTATTTACACTCGATGATAAATTTTACACGAGTGTAAGAATTATGTACACTTGATAATAAATTTTACACAAATGTAAAAACTATTTACACTCGTGTAAAACTTATTCGTGTATAATTTAGATGTGTGTAAATAAATTTCAAATGTGTAAGTCTTAGCAACTTTGAACAAGTGTAAAAATGTTCTGTAAGTTTGAATTTTTTACAAAATAGCCGGTCCCGGTCCTATTCTCGTTACGCGCCTCTAGGGTGCATGAAATTGCACCCTGTGCGTTACCTCTGTAAAATTATTAATAAAATATGAAATATCGCAATAGACAAATTTAAAGCATTTGCGTTCGAGTAAATTAAACACGTTTCAGCGCAAATATCGGATCAGCGGTTTTCCATGCCTCAAACATCATACGAGCGTAGAAATAACATGACATTTTCATATTTTTCTGCTCTTGCGCATGATATTTTCTGTGTTTTTTTTATTTTATATATCGCGAGCATCTGCACTGAGAAAAAGATTTCAACCGATGGAGTATGACCATTTCTATAGGCTTCTACGATTTCTGCTTAACGTAACTGAATATGTTTAAGAAAACTCTAGCTAGATTTAACGCCGCGAATAAAATGATATCTAATTGACTTTTTTCTCATTTTAATTGATTTTTTATCCTAATAAGTATGTATTATTTTCACTTTTCTAGTGCTTACATCGATCAATTACCGGATCTCGGATTGCCAACATTCGCATCTAATCCTAACTCGTTCGAAGCTAATTTGAATAATACGAGTCCAATTGATTCGGAACCAAACTTACCACCGGCCAATTTAATTAGCCCTCAAAGTACTTCAAATCATAGCGATCACTCTGATAAAGGGCCGATGCTTGCAAGTGCGTGGCTCGATTATGAAGTCCCAGTACCTCTTCCAGGTATTTTGAGTGACACAACACTGGATCTTGATTTTATGAATTATCTTGCCGGTGATACAACACCGGAAAATGCGTACGCGCAGTCGTTTATGGATTCATTCTCTGTGGAGGAATCTCCATATA